TGTTAGAGCGTTCACAAGGATCAATTAAGTGTAACAAGGGCCATAACTCTAGACATAATAAACGGGAATTGCTGAAATTCAATAGGCTTCTTCGTTTCAGCAATCTAAATAATGCATATAAATTTCAGAAAGATCGGATGATAACTTTTGACGTGAGAGCGTTCACAAGGATCAATAAAGTGAAACAAGGGCCATAACTCTAGATGTAATAAACAGGAATTGCTGAAATTCAATAGGTTTCTTCGTTTCAGCAATCTAAATAATGCATATAAATTTCAGAAAGATCGGATGATAACTTTTGACGTGAGAGCGTTCACAAGGATCAATAAAGTGAAACAAGGGCCATAACTCTAGACGTAATAAACGGAAATTGCCGAAATTCAATAGGATTCTTCGTTTCAGTAATCTAAATAATGCATATAAATTTCAGAAAGATCGGATGATAACTTTTGGCGTTAGAGCGTTCACAAGGTTCAATAAAGTGAAACAAGGGCCATAACTCTAGACGTAATAAACGGAAATTGCTGAAATTCAATAGGCTTCTTCGTTTCACTAATTTAAATAATGCATGTAAATCACAGAAAGATCGAATGTTAACTTTTGGAGTTAGAGCGTTCACAATGTTCAATAAAGTGAAACAAGGGCCATAACTCTAGACGTAATAAACATAAATTGTTGAAATTCAATAGGCTTCTTTGTTTCACTAACTTAAATATTGCATATAAATTTCACAAAGATCGTATGTTCAACAAAGTGAAACAAGGGCCATAACTCTAGACGTAATAAACGGAAATTATTGAAATTCAATAGGCTTCTTCATCTCACTAATGTAAACAACATATATCAATTTTAAAACAATTGGATAAAACTTTTGGCGTTAGAGCGTTCACAAGAAATTGTGGACGACGGACGGACCGACAGACGGACGGACGGGGGCGACGGCAATATACGTCCACATTTCAATGTGGGCATATAAAAATGCTTCTATCATAAAGGTAACAATTATTATCGTGATACATATAAATATATATATAGGTTTTATTCACGCTAGGTATATGTTTGCTAATTTCATTTTGAATTTGTGTGAGAGATTCCGCTCGGTGTATTTCTGCACAGTCAGAAGATACATCTTGTGGTAACTATGTATTGTGACATCACATCTTGCGGTAACTATGCTTGACATCATTAATTAGTATGCACAGATAGTTCTTTATATAAAAAGACAGAACTTCTTTTTTGAGTGTTATTAAAGTATTCTTATTGTTGTAGCATTGTAAATGTGCTAATTTTCTTATATTTTTTTAAACTTTTTCCACGTTTTCGCTTAAAAATGTGGTATGTGTTTTCTTGAAAATTAATAAAAAAAATACCAAAAATATGTTCTTCAAATCAGTTCAAATAAACAGCTTCATTCTGGCCTTTATTTCATAGAAATTGACGGAAAACTAGAGTGGGTAGGATAAAATTGATATAATGTCGGCGGCCATATTTGATGACGTCATTGTGGAATAACCTACCACGTGGTGAGTGTCCAACTAAGTTCAAAATACTTATTTCGGCACCCACTAAACATTTCTTCAAAAAAAATTCTCCCTACTCAAACCTTCCTACAGAACCGTAGTCAGATGCTGGATTAGATACCCTGACGTTGACGATAGCATCAAACGGAACAAGAACGGGTCAGGGCTCCATGGCACTTAGGCCTGGACAGGTGACTTATAGTTTTAAATTTACCAATTTTTCCAAAAAAGGTGAACTGACAGAATCCGATTCTAATCTTACCAATGGAACTAGATATCCACATTCAGCAAAGTTACCTGTTTTCTTCTGCTTCACTATCAAGTAACAGTGTATTTTTTAATTACTTTATACCAACAAATGTTTTATTAAAACATTACCATTACGCGGCATACCTCCGGGCCCCTCTAGACTCCGGGCCCCTGGACAAGTGTCCCAGTTGCCCCCCACCTCTCTTACGAGCCCTGCTTTATTTCCATCGCACGGCTTAACCTGGTGTTTGACTACCGAAGTAGTACCATTAGCCATGCTCATCAGGAAAAATACATCCCAACAGACTTTCAGCTAAAACGTAAAAAATCGGGTAGACCAGTTTTCATCTTTTTGAACTCTGTGGTATTGACTTCCTGTCTGTCCACATGAACGGGAACCCAAAACGTAACTTTTTAAGTGCAGCTTTTAGGAACACTACCAGGGGGCGCTTTTCGCATTACAGCCAAAATTGTTTTTTTGTTACACATCTCGAGTACACCTGTGTCAAAATATGAATCCTTATGATGATTTGGGGGATTAACCTACTTCTGAGTGGCCCAAATGTGAAAATTGGTCAGCCCCACCCATTCAACCTTTAATGCACTTCTCCAGTAAAAGAACCCTTTGCAGTTGGAATTCGATATAAGAGTGCTTTTGCAGGGCAAAATCCCCCTCATAGCATACTGATGGAGCCCAGTTGGAGCAGAACAGTAGGACGTATATATGTATCACCCCATTTCATTTCATTTCTTTTTATTGACGTAGGCTATTTTTGTCAACAATTAAAATGAATCTGTGTTCCTACAGCTACTGTAATAGTATCACCTTTTGACAATGCAGCAATATTTATATACTTTTAGCTTCCTTCTACGTTATTGTAACACATTGTTCTTGTTTATCAACCCATAATGGGCAAATCCTCTTCTCTGAATCAGCATTCGTTTCTACTGCTAACATGCATAAATTGACTGATTTTGAAAAAAATGCGACGTCTGATATGCCGTTGTGACGTCACAGTAACGTCATGACGTCGTAGAGACATAACGTCGCCATTTTTGAACTCGCTGGTACCGACTTCCTATCTGTCCACAATACATTTATGGTATCTAAAACCAACAGTTTTAGTGATATTTGCAATTTTTGGTCGACAGCCGCCATCTTTGATTTGGCGACGCCCCCTGTCCTTATTTGGACTCCGATTTTGGTATGAGTCAATAGAAAACAAAAGATAGGCTGGCACTGCCAGGCAGGATACGCCCACATTTTCAAGAGATGGATAGAGAACAATTAATACTGAAAGTGATTTTTCCTACAATCAAAGGCCATAATTCATTAGAGGATCCACAACCTGTATTTCATACTGTATTGGGAGCAGCCATTTTGTTGGTCAGTTTCAGTCCGATTTTCATGAAATTCGAAGCCGACAATGATTATGGTGTGACGGTACACAACCTAGAAATGTGACTTTTCGTCAAAATCGGATAAGAATTGTGACCTGTAGAGAGTCCACAACCTTGATATACCATATTTTTACACCATTCATGTACAAATGGCAGCCATTTTGTCCGGAAATTTTAGTCGGATTTTCACGAAATTCGAACTCAACCTTCCTTATGTTGTAACGGTAATATAATCAGACGTTTTTTTTTAAATCGGATAATAATTGTGACCTCCAGAGGGACCACAAGTTAAAAAAAGGCGATTTTTCGGACAATCAGGGGCCGTAATTCAGGAAGTTATGTTACGATGGGTGCAAATATCGATAGGAACCAAGATCTTTGGGTTATAAACATGCATGTCAAGTTTCATCAATATCGGTTCAAAATTGTGACCTTTATAGGGTCCACAAGCCTAAAAACATGATTTTTCGTACAACAATCAGGGGCCATAATCCATGAAGTTTCGATCCGATACATGCCAATATCGAAAGCAGCCGAGATCTTTTTGGGATAAACCTATATTTCAAGTTTCGTCAAAATTGGATAAGAATTCTGACCAGTAATGAGTCCACAACCTTGATATACCATATTTTTACACGATTCGTGTACAAACGGCGGCCATTTTGTCCGGCAATTTTGGTCCGATTTTCACGAAATTCGAATTCAAACTTTCTTACTGTGTAACGGTGATATAGTCAGACGGTTTTTCAAATCGGATAATAATTGTGACCTTCAGAGGGACCACAAGCTAAAAAATGCGATTTTTCGGAGAATCAGGGGCCATAATTCATGAAGTTTCGATCCGATACATGCCAATATCGAAAGCAGCCGAGATCTTTTGGGGATAAACCTATATTTCAAGTTTCGTCAAAATCGGATAAGAATTGTGACCTGTTGAGAGTCCACAAACAATTGTGGGCGGACGGACGTCCGGACGGACAGGGGCGACGGCATAATACGTCCACTTGAAAATGTGTGCGTATAAAAACCTTTTGTTTCAATTTGTTCTATGTACGACATCATTTAGCCGTCGTTTGACCCGCCTATATAGGATCCACAAGCTAAAAACACGATTTTTCATACAATCAGGGGCCATAATTCAGGAAGTTACGGTCCGATATGCGCGAATATCAAAAGGAACCAAGATCTTTGGGTTATAAACTTACATTTCAAGTTTCAACAAAATTGTAATAAAAATTGTGATCTCTATAGGGTCCACAAGCTAAAAACGTGATTTTTCATACAATCAGGGGCCATAACCCATGAAGTTTCGATCCGATACATGCCAATATCGAAAGCAGCCGAGATCTTTTGGGGATAAACTTACATTTCAAGTTTCAACAAAATCGGATAAAAATTATGACCTCTATAGGGTCCACAAGCTAAAAACGTAATTTTTCGTACAATCAGGGACCATAATTCAGAAGTTACGTTCCGATATGCACGAATATCGAAAGGAACCGAGGTCTTTAGGTTATAAGCATACATTTCAAGTTTAAACCAAATCGGATAAAACTTGTGACCTCTACAGTGTTCACAAGCTAAAAACGTGATTTGTCGTACAATCAGGGGCCATAATCCATGAAATTACAGTCCGATACATGCCAATATCGAAAGGAACCGAGATCTTAGGGTGATAAACCTATATTTCAAGTTTCATTGAAATCGGATAAAAATTGTGACCTGTAGACTGTTTAGTGTTTACAAACAATTGTGGACGGACGGACATGGGCGACGAGAATATACGTCCACATGAAAATGTGGGCGTATAAAAATATATATGATACCTACCCTATCTCTCCAGTGTAATATACCAACTATAATAGCTATAAAACCACAGGTTCCTAATAAAGCTGCTCCTGTTAATAATACTAAACGACTTGGTGTTATAAATAACTTGTTACTCCAACTATAAATATACACAATAAATATATTATAACTCATTATACTTATAATTATTTATATCTAGAAATAGCCTCGACCAATTTTGTCTTACTTATAATATATATATTTAAACATACATTATGCAAGAGCTAAATCTGTCTATTGCAGGTCTTTCTAGAGGCCTAAAATGTTATCTAAATTATTAATTAGACATTAATTAAATTATCCAGACCATAATCAACTCTAGATAGCATCGCTAGCCTGCAATATTTAGTGCATTATGAGTCGATTTACTGCATAACTTTCCTTCAGATTTAACGATTAAATGGATAATCGAGACTATGCTTTTTATCGTACTGACTTTAGTAATGATGATCGAGGCTAGGCGGAAATTTCAATCGCTTAGTTCTCGGTTCATAGTGGATCAATTAGAATGAAATTTTCAGCAAAGTCCCTTTACATTATCTAGTTTTTAACTATTATAGTGAGAACTGCCAACTTGTTATCAAATCTCCCATAATGTATCTTTAAAAGAGCAAAAAATTAATTGGAAGAATGGAAGTATTTGATATTGATATTTGTGGTATGGTACATTCTTGCATCACATTTAATCATCAAATAGCTCCAACTCTGCCAAAAATTTGCTTTTCACACATTTTAACAGAAACTTTCAAAACTGATTGATCACAAAAGTTTAGTATCCTATGGAAAAATAAGTTGCTACTCCAGGCAATGAAACTTTTATCAAACAGCAGAGTTTCTTGAACCAAAGCAACATTACATAAACAATCTGCATAAACATTACTCAAGGAACATAGAGCCTATCTATAAATTTTGGTTTTATTCTATCCAGTGGGTTAGGAAAAATCAGCTCCTGGTCTCCAGGTAAATTTATATGAACAAATACGGACAAGCATCCTGCAATCAACATCCTTCTGAAGTCCGATCTCAAGTTGAAATCCATCAAGCAGTTTTGGAGAACTGGTTTAAAATACATAAATTTGCCCAATCAAAGTGCCCCTGCACTTACAAAGAAGATGTTAAAAATGTTTAAATTTGTCACTCTGTGGTTGCCTTGCTCACAACTATGGGGTCTAGCCCTTTCTGTTTAACAAATTGTTAATATTTATCATCTAATGCCCCCGTCAGACCGGGGTGGCGTCCTTACTGCGCTGCTGCGACCGTACTGTGACCAGAAAATGCACAAGGTTGCCGGCAAACGTGAATATAACACAAGAAAATGTCCCAAAAAATTGGCGTTTGTTTTGAACATGCTCAAAAGAAATGCCGTGACTAGGCAAGCATTGACGACCATGGAGACCACAGCACAATAGCTGGCATTTCTACCACGCTTATGGCGATCTTGACGCGCTCTAAAACCAATTTCCATCGCCGTAAGGACGCTGCACGGGTCTGACGGGGGGGGTATAAGGATGATTGATTGCTACCATTCTTTCCAAGAAATCCATTCAGTCATTCTGATAAAAAAAGTCTTTTTTAAACATATACCAAAATTTTCTCTGCAAAGGTACCCTTGCCCAGCAACTTTCTTTAAACAAATCTGAATAAACTTCACCCTGACAACTTCGAGACAAATCCACTGAACGGTTTAGGAGGAGTCAAAAATGACTAACAGTGACAACATTTGGGAAGGAAAGAATCTAAATGATTTTAATAGTCAAGTCTAGTAACATACCTGTTAGGAGAATCTAGCTTGTATGGTGTGATAACTAAACGTGAGTTTGGAATTATAGAAGTAAATGCCTTATGTCTAGGACTCTGAAACATAATAATTCAAATTTACCAAAGATATGATACACAAGATTCAGTCAAACCATATCTTCTTAGAAGATATGATCTTTTCTATAAGCTATGCGCAGACGAGCGTATTTTTTTGTTTGGTTGTAGCGATTGAAATTCACCAGCGATATTTTACGACCGATCACGAGTGGGCACATGTAGTGATCGTCTCTGCAAGTAAATTAGGTCGACCACGTTACCTGTACAAAATGGTGAACCCTCTAAAAAGTAAGCTTGCTGTGGTAGCTGCTATTTATTTACTATTAAAAATCTGGAATCGTGACGTCAAATACGCTGGTCACGGGCAGACACACACATCGCTGGCGTAAAATATTCGAATGAAAATATATAATATGCTAGATACAGGCAATCGGTCGAGCGAATGGTCAGCGAGCAGAATCGTCGTCGCCTTGAACGTGCACAGGTTTCTTTTTAAGTGCACACTAACATGTATACGGGACCTTGGTGCAACCTGCACCACCGACTAGGGAAAACTACGCTTGTAGTTGTAAAACGGAGAGTACTTTTGGGCAATGCATTTGTTATTAAAGAAAAAACAGAACAAATACCTACTTTTCCGGCTTGATAAGGTACACCAACTTCTAAGGTGTCAACAAAATTAGGTGTCTGTCCTAACCCAAAAACAGTAAATGGTAGTTGCAGAGAAAAATAGGCTGACTGAGTCAACTGAGAGGCTGAAAAAACAAATTTGATAAACCAATAACTACTATGGTATAGACTTCTATACATTACTGATTTTAACAATCAAACCTCATTCATTACAGAATAATTAAAGATACATTATGTAAGATTTAGATAAAGAACTGACCATTCTTGCTATAATAGCTCAAAAGTAGATATTGTAAAATGAAAATATTGAAACTTCCATTCAAATTACTTCATTCTGAGCCAAGTTATCATTGTTCGTAGTTTTGATGAGATATATATGCGTTGTGGTAACCAGGGTACTGGTATATTCGAGACTTAGCCTCGCTTTCCCATTTTTAAATTATATTTAAATGGCGAATTGTTCTAATCCAGTTAAATCCTGAGTATCCGATGCCATCGAGAGTTGATTATGGTCTTGTTTTGTTATTAAATGTCTAATTAATAGTTTATATAACATTTCAGGCCTAAACAAAGACCTTCAATAGGCAGATTTAACTCTTGCATAATGTATGTTTAATGCCCATTTTGATTTGCCAACAAACCTGTTAATTTGTTTCACAGGGTGTGCACAACTCAGAACACTTTAAATTCCAGGACTTTCCAGGAGTTATTTACCAGATTCCAGGAGTCCCTGTACAGAATTCTACATCATAATGTATCTTTTTTACGCTTGAAGAACATTGTTCGACTGACTCGAAGAAATAAAGGATCTCATCAAAATTAGATTTCAACAGAGTTTATTCATTTTTTTACAAGCATAATGGTATCCATTTGCAGTGTCCAATTGTTCTTTCGAGATTTTAACAACTGCGACAGAGACATTTGTCTACTACTAAAAAATATAGGGAAACCACAAATGTTAATTTTCCAGGAGTTTCAAGGAGTAATCTTGTTTGTCCAGGATTTTCCAGTACTGGAAATCACATTTTCATTTTTTCTGGATTTTAAGGATTTTAATTGGCTGTTTTTTGTCGGCTTTAGCCGCTTGAAGTTCAATCAAGCCGATTGGTAAAACAATAAACCGGCCACTATGCTATCATAAATCAATCTACTTTCGGCCAAATTACAACGGTTTAATTATTACTTGTTAATTAAATAGTCAATCAACTTGCTTGTCGGCTACAATAAAAATCATACCTTAGTAAGAATCGGCCATGTGGTTCATAATCCGTTAATTAGCACCAGTTACAGTAACGAATACAGTAATTTATTCAGGAATATTACTGACGTGAATTTTAAGCTGGTACGCGAATTAAATATGGACAATTTTCCGAACGGTGTACCTGTTTGATGTTATAGGCTATTTGTGGTAATTACTTACAGTAGAATACGATATATTCCTCATAACAAATTACCAAGAATTATTTTTGTTGAAATCTGGTTATATAACTTGTATTAAACTAATTAAAGGGAATGGAAACTTGAAATTTTAAAACCCAGTTCCTATCAGGACCTCATATGACCCAATTCTACCTGATTCGTTTAAAAATGGATTCAGAACCCTGGTGCGAACCTTATTTTATTAAAGAATGAAGAATTTTAGATGAGAGAGAGAGAAATGGGGTAAAAGTCTGCTCAACACAAACTCAGATATTTTGCTGGGACTAAAATATGGTAAATCTATATTCAATAATTTGCTTGTTCTCCTAAGTCTTTATCAATGGGAGAAAACTGCGGAACATGGACAACACACATAAAGTCAGGATTTTAGATTTGTCTACCATTTACCAAATAAAATGAAATAGGGTTTAATGTCCTACGTTTCTGCAGTGTGCTGTGACTATGAGGGAAAATTTTTCCGGGACAGTGGTGTTACAACCTATTCTTTATACCCAATTCCAACTGTCAAGGATTTTTTTACGTCCCATCCGATGACTAGACACTATACTTGCCAGGCCCTGGGTCCTTCACCAGTGACAAGGGGAAACCATGCTGGATATGACTAAATGACTATTCTGACCATAGTATATTAAATACAAAGCATGAGTGTATGTCTTGAGTAAGGGTTAATTTCAACTTCTACGATTGAATATATCGATGGTACATACCTATTCCAATCTGTTGGTCTCCGTTGGAATTTACTGTCTCATATCTTACTGCTGGTCCAACTTGATTAACACCATATCTCTAGTCAACAAAAAAACAAAACCTTATATACCTGACAATAGATACAGCAGACACTAAATATATTTGAGAATACTACAGTAGAATCTGCATTAAGCAGCCACCCAAGGGAATTTTCACAACTGACCGCTTAACGGGAGTGGCCTCTTAATAAAATCTCGTTGCTTTTTGTGTCGACATAAATTAAATATTACGCTTGGATGCATTGGAAGCGGTAAATTTGGCCGTCGCTGAATCTTGCGCCGAACGAAAATTCTTTACTCAAATCTCGGACATAACTTAACGGGAGTGGCCTCTTAATAAAATCTCGTTGCTTTTTGTGCCGACATAAATTAAATATTACGCTTGGATGCATTGGAAGCGGTAAATTTGGCCGTCGCTGAATCTTGCGCCGAACGAAAATTCTTTACTCAAATCTCGGACATAACTTAACGGGAGTGGCCTCTTAATAAAATCTTGTTGCTTTTTGTGCCGACATAAATTAAATATTACGCTTGGATGCATTGGAAGCGGTAAATTTGGCCGTCGCTGAATCTTGCGCCGGACGAAAATTCTTTACTCAAATCTCGGACATAACTTCTGTAAACTTGTCATTTTGTAGCAACCTTCGATACTACTGTCTACCATTGTGATGCATTCGATAATATTTATCCATTTTTGTGAAGAAAATCGATGAATTCATTTTATTTTATCAAAAAAGCACATGAACAAAAAACATCAAAGTATCAAATAATGTGTCGTTACGCGTGAAAACAATGATCAGGTTAGTCGTTTAATAAAACAAAAGATTAATTAACAGATAATCCCGGGTTGATTGTTATGTTTACATTTCTTTTTACCTGATCAGTGGGGGTCCAGTTAATTAACTACTACTCACGGGATTAGCGGGGGTGTTACAAAGAACGACAAGATGGTATCATTCAACAATGGCCGTTGAATGGGCGATGTTTTGTTGAATTTATTAGTAAAATAGTGACCGCTGGCCGCGCTAGAGGAGTGACCGTTGAATAAAGAGATGAAACAACAGAATTTCTACGGGGGGAATTTATCGTGACCGCTTACAAGGAGATGTCGCTGAATAGGAGTGGCTGCTCATACAGATTCTACTGTACATGAATATAAAGCATAATCAAATGTGGGACTATTTACCTAATACCACCCAATACTAAGTAAATACTACCAAATACCACCCCTTTACAAACTAATTACCTCCCCAATGCTACCTAATACAACCCCAAATACTAACTAAATACTACAAAATACCACCCAATACTACCCAACACCACCCAATACTAACTAAATATTACCCAATACTAATAAATACTACCTAAATACTACAAAATACCACCCAATACTACCCAATACTAAATATCACCCAATAGTTTCCAATACTAACTAAATACTACCAAATACGACCCCAATATTAACTAAATACTACCAAATACCACCACATACATGTACTACCTCAATATTGAGAAAAACTAACAGAATACTTCAATTATATGACAAAAGGTTTTAGTTAATAAGTGGAAAAATTGCAAAAATGTATGGCAAATTGATCACCTAATACTAACAAATATTAGTGGTAATATTACCTAAAAATGACATAAAAGTAAAATTATTTGAATAACAAAATGTTTACTTGTTGAAAATAAATTATTTATTCAATGATTAGCTGTTTCATTTATTACTTATTAAAGGAATTAATTCATTGATATTGAAGTAATTGCAGAATTCTGTCAATTTTGGATAATAATAAGTTAGTATGTGGTTGAATTTTGTAGTATTGGGAGATATTTGGTCATATTTAGCTAGACTTTCAGACCCTTAAACTACCGGGTACCGATACTATAAATATACTTTTCCAGTTTATTGTAAAAATTTTGCTAATTCCCTGAATTAATTCTTTTTATTTTATATGAAATGAAATGAAATGAAATAGGGTTTAACGTTCTACTGTTCTGCTCCGACTGGGCTAATGAAGACGGGCATATAGTGTGCTATCTCAATATCAGCAAAGATTCAGGCTAAAAAATTATCAAAATGTAAGCGAAATGACCGTTTGTTTACATGAGACGCTCGCAGGAAAATACCGCTCTGACGTCACACGGCCTGAGATTTTCCATTGCTACGACTCACTTCATTGGTGAATCCGCTTCTTAGTTACCGGGGGATTTTGATATAGAACCAATCAAACGATAGATAACATTTTTGTGGTTATTATGGTTGTTGATACAACGTGGTCGGACAAGTAGACCCGTAGAAAATGGGATTTATCTGTTTTGATGAATGAAAATTGCCAAATTCGACTAAATATAAAAAAAGTTTCTTGAGGTATCATCCAGATTATAAATATTTGACATATTATCATTCAAATTATTACGATTTTAATAAATTTTAGCTGACAATAACGTGCGGATTTCAGTTTTAAAATTGGTACTAGCAATTCTGAAGGGAAAATACCGCTTATGACGTCACTCAAATATGACTGAAAAGCACTTATTTTGGTGCCATGCCACGCATTGACTGGTATAGAGCATTTTGATTACATTATTGACGTCGATCTCAGATTTTAAAATTCCATAACTTTTGATCTAATCAGAATATTTTGATGAAATAAAAAAATTTGGGTAGCATTTTATGTATATTTTCACAAAATATTTAAAAAAAATTTTTTTCTGTCATTTGAAACTTTGACCTGAAACCCCTAGTAGTATTGGGTAAATCGTCCAACTGCATAATCACAGCTCATTTCAAGATAACCCTGTTTTAAAACAAATATGACATTCTTCTTACCTGATGACCAGCTGGACAATCATCTTTACATAAACCACTTAACACTAAAATATATATAAATAATAAATCATCTTATTGTCAATGGCGATAAGAGTTATGTTTAGACGTGAAAGGATTGGAGGAAAGAAATGATAATAGGTTACCTTCGAGGTAAATAGTGGGATGTCTCTGATTGGTCATAATTAACTAAGTACTGTTTTTACATCACGTTTTATATTTTACCATTGCTTGATAAACTCTACGAGAAGCCTAGGCAAAATGTCACCCAGTAATAAAAGTGATTAAGTTCCATAGAAGAAATGAAATGGGGTTTAACTTTCTACTGTTTTGCTATGAACCGGGCGAATGAAGACGGGCATACACCATACAGTGTGCTATGAGGGAAATTTTGCCCGGACAGCGGCACTACAGCCTACTCTTATATCGAATTCCAACTGTCAAGGGATCTTTTACGTGCACGCCAATGTGTACGTAGGACCTCATCTTTTCGTCCCATCCAAACAACTAGACATCTGTCCTTGTCAGGCCCTCCGTCCTGCATCGGACGTGTGGGATTTCTTCAGGTCCCCCTACGTGCAAGCGAATTATTGAAATAAACCTAACCCATGTAAGTCCCGAAATAACCTAGTTTGTTTCAAGTGGATGTTAAACCCCTATTCTCTTTCTCGTCAACTGACGGCCGATATAAACTGTCAATAACCAATTAATTGTAACAGTGCGTGATTCATTTTTTTGTCCGAAAATTTCAAATTTCTCACAGCTTAATCCATGCTTATATACTCAGATTGATTATTTAACATGTATTTAAGAAATTAAAATATCAACACTAGATAATCTCCTGACTTGGATTTAATTAATCTGATTAAACATACATATCTATATTTCGTTTCATTTTTTTATACTTTCAATGGCCTACACCACATGAAGATCTGACAAGTTATAGAGATAGGTCACGTCAGGGGTCAAAAGACTGACTTATGACCCTATGGTGTCAGACATTTGATTAACCAATCAGCATTGATGTTACTAGTGGATTACCCACAGTTCCGTGAAAAATAAGCCTAAAGCTCGCCGTAACAGACCGTTTCATTGGCTTATCCCTGCCACCATTCAGAACACGAGTAAAATAACAACTCTTCCAGATCCAAGTGTAGTAAAGACAAGTAAAACAAAATTTTGAACTATAAAAACGAAACGAAATAGGATCTGTGTTTTAACCAGATTGGGATTTAATCAGATAAGAAAATGACTATCAATTAGATTCGCAGACACGTTAAGGTGGCGTGCTATAATATCATGAGATCATTCTGACAGTACAGAGACTTGTTTTTTGGCAATTAGCCTACCGTAGATTGCAAAATAGCGGAAAGTTCAACTTAAATGAAATGTAGATGGGTTTTGTCGACAGATTCTGTCAAGAAAAGAAGAGACAAAATAGAAAGTTAATGTGTACGCTTTACAAAAAGGGACAGCATAGATCAATGGATTTTTACATTATTATATCTTTTGTAAATACTGAACAAATTGATCCATTTTAGACTGATATTCCTCTTAGAAATTTAACTTTTTCAATATTATAGTTTGCAAGGCATGCCTATATCACTCAAATCATGCTCATGGACTTCTAAGTGTCTACAACACCAAAATTTTAAAATGTAACAATTTAATAACTCACCCATGATTTTAATGAAATATGCATCTTCTGTAAAAACTTGAGATAAAGCCTGAAGATGTGTTTTTTTATCTTGATAATTCGACAAAACTATGTCTAAAATACCCTGAAAATAACAATCAAATTAAACATTACTCTACATCATAAACCACTGACAATGTAAATCAAAGAGTAATTTTTTAAAATGCAATGAAATGAAACAGGTTTTTTAATGTCCTATACAGACTGGGCTAATGAAGATGGGCATATGCCATACAGTGTGCTATAAAATAAAATGAAATGGGGTTTAATGTCCGACTTTTCTGCTCTGACTGGGCTAATGAAGACGGGCATACGCCACACAGTATGAGGGCCATTTTGCCCTGACAGCAGCACTATGGCACAGTCTTATTTCGAATTCTGTCAAGGGTTCTTTTACGTGCAAGTCAATGTTTACACAGGACCTCAGTTTGTCTTCCCATCCGATGGACTATACACTGTCCCTTGCCAGGTCCTACATGACTGACAAGGGGGAACCGCGCTGGAATATTCAGATGAACTTTCTCAGCCAAGAAAGTGAGCAAAGAGAGGAAATCTAGGTTACTCACTGAGTCACTGCAGCCCCCAATTATAATGCAATCAAAATATATATATATTGTGTGTTAATTAGTAAAAACAATTTTAGATCTTTTTTTCATTTTACGTACATTTTCTCCTATGTCGAAGAAAGCTACCAAAACAGGAATTGTTGTTGGTTTGGTTAGCGGATCCGAGAATTGAATTGTAAAAGTTCGAGAAAATCCATCACAGGTACTGCAACCAACATTTTTTAAAACATATGCTACTTGAGATGTATTCCTAAAAAGAAAATGTTAACCACATAGATTATTTCGGGACTAGGCTAACAAATGGTTCAATCTTATTTAAATAATTTGCATGCCCTTAGATGTCTTTAGCAGTGGGAGGAAACCGGAGGAACCTGAGAACACCCATGAGGTTGGACAGATAGCCATACTACTTCTCATTTACAAGCAGAGAACTGAAATCCACGCCACTTGACTCAATGACAGACCTTGTGACCTTGTGATTTCCCGCACACACATTAAACCGCTAGACCACCCAACCCCCATTAGTTCAGATATAATTTCTAAAACATGGTTGTATAAAAAGAATGTCTAATATTAGTAATATCATAAAGGAATATATTTTGAAACAACTAAGTTAATTACGTGAACAGGGATAAAGGGGATCTTAAAAGATATTTTTGAAAAAAAAACTGATTTCTTTTTGATGTCCAATATCTTGTGGAACACTTGTGGTGAAAAATATTCCACACAAAAGGCCCCAAATCTTGCCATAAATGACATTAAAATATATCGCAATTTCACTCACTCTGCTTTTTTCCAGGATAAAACTGTCAATGCATCTGGGAAGCCATCTAGATTCAAGTCTCCCATTCTGAGATTGATAGGTACAGAAAGAGTTGGGATAGTATTGTCTGGGAGGAATCCCCATTGATTGGTTCCATCATTAAATTTAACATCTAATTTATACCACTGAAAATAGAATATTTATAAACAAACAATTAAGACACCCATGTCTATTTTAACATATGGTCAGTTCTACAGAATGCAGTATGTCTAAGGGTGAGGAAATGAAAACTTATATCTCTAACACTGTTCGAAGCCTACCCATACTTTTCCTTGTCTCTCCTGCACACACCATCAACCTCTTACCTGGGATGGTACCCCTCTTAACCTGTTAACTGCGTAGGGCGTTATATAACGTCCTGGACAACTGCCACTCACCGTGTGTAGGATGTAATATAACGCCCCGGAGGTATTTTCCCCAACCTATTCCTCGAACATACGATCGCAGCATGTGTAGGACGTTATATAATGTCTGGTCGAGGAAATCTAATTGAAGGGAGACAACTCTATTTACCGTTAGTTTTAATATGGTTTCAGTCTACTATAGTGTTTATTCAGGAATACAAAGGTCCAAAAATGACGTTTTTCGTCAAATTAATTACACAATAGGGGGTAGTTAACGTTTTAAAAACTACACAGTTAAGGGGTTAACTCTTCTTTTCATACACTATTCCCTTGATGCCTCTTACTAAAATGCATCCCCCCCTTCCATCAATACTAGATCTTCCCTCAACACTATTTTCCTAAATACATTTCCTTCCTAGAAGTTCCATCAGACACTTTCCCTAAATACACCCCCTTTCCTAGATGTCCCCTCCCCCTCCACGCCCTTTTCCTAAATGTACCCCTATTTTTCCAAATCCACCCTTAGTCTATCCTATGTAAATAGTACTTGAATAGTCTATCCTATGTAAGATCTGATAAGTACTTGAATAGTCTATCCTATGTATCTGATACAGTACTTGAATAGTCTATCCTATGTATATGATGCAGAATTGCATGAATAGTCTATCCTATGTAAATGATATAGTATTTGTAATAGTTTATCCTATATAAATATTAGTTGAATAGTCTATCCTATGTAAATAGTAGTTGAACAGTCTATCCCATGTAAGTGAATAGTCTATCTTACGTAAATAATGCAGTAGTTGAATAATCTATCGTATCTAAACGATTCAGTTATGACGATATTAATAATAGTTACTCACCTCATTTTTGGACCAGACATATATTGCACTAGTAGTAGTACAGTCAGTAGCATCTGTACAACCTGGTAATACTATATCAACACTATGATCATTATCTAAAATAGACAGTTTTATTTCATAAATTTAGTTGTCATCTGAAAACTAAGTCCCCCAAAAAACCTGATTAGATCAGGAATGCGATCTCACGACTTAATACATTATTGTAATCAACTAACAATGATACTAGGTAACACAGTGTTCTAACTAACTACCTGACCTAAAGTGATCAGCAGTCGATATTTGCTGACCCTGTAACATAGTGCTCTATAATTTGGATACTAAGCCTTGTCACTAAAACTCAGGTATCTTGTAGTTGTCCTGTTTTAGCAGGAGAGAGAGAGAGAGAGTATTTAATGTTTAGATTCAAACCATTGTAGATAAATTGTTAAAACTGTTGGATTTCTACTGTCGCATAGTTTAACGTCCACTCAACACAAACTAGTTCATTTTGGGACTAACACATGATTTAATTTTATTTCAACAATTCACTTGCGCATAGTGGTCTTTAGCAGTGGGAGGAGACCGGAGGACTCAAAGAAAACTCATGAGGTTGGACAGACGACCCAACTCCTTGACACATACAACCGGGGAATCAAAATCACGCCAGTTGACTGAATGACGGACCTTATGATACAGACTAATTAATTACTCAACACCGCTGTAGCAGAGATTTAAATCTTTCAAGAAACATTTCTAGTTAATTTCTTCACATTTTAAGGAAAAAGATTTATGTTTAAACTTACCCATATCTAAAAATACTGGTTGACCAAATGATTTTAATTCTTCGGGTGATACAATTGTCTGATTCCACAGTAATTTACCTTTCTAAAAATAACAATCAAAATTAGATCCCTTTGAAAGATTAACATTTTCTTGATAAAGCCCAATCTGATTTTGGTTCGCTTTTCAATACATGAAGATCTGACTGGTTGCGTCAGGGGTCATACGAACGACTTTTGATCGTATGACATCAGTCAGAACTCGTGGTAACAGACCATTTCATTGGCTAATCCCTCACTTCAACCAGAACGCTGGTAATATAATTACTCTTCTAGATCCTAGTGTAGTAAAGACAAGTAAAACGAAATGTTGAACTATAAAAAACGAAACGAAATAGGATCTGTGTTTTAATCCGATTGGATATAGCCAAGAGAATCATCGTTGAAATGGTGCATGTCAACAATTGGCATCATCTACAGATGACATTAACGGGGTGAAAACAAGCCAGTACCATCTATAATCTTTGCTAGAATCTTTTGATGAGTCTCTTTTAATTCCAAGCTAGGAGATCATCTACCATTGACATTTCCCATACTGTATCCTAGCTGTATTTCACAAGTTACGAAAATGTACAGAAATATTTTGTAGAAAATAAAGCTGTTTTGTGGATGGATTATTAAATTAAAATTTTCAGATATTATTACTAACGTGCATAGCCTACCTGGTTTAGCCAGATTTCAAATTGAATTTTTCCACTTTCATCAGAAACTGTTATCAAATCTGAAACAAACAGAACATTATCTTAACTGGGCAGATAAATAAACTATAAACATACTTATGGAAAACAGCTACTGATTTATTTAGGCGACGTTTCGAAGAGTATTTTCTCAACATTTTTAACCTAATACAATATAACAAAATTTGAAGCAACATATATAGACAAAATTACAATAACAAGGTTGAAGCCATAGTTTATTTAGTCCAATAATAGTTCAGTTTTATTCAGTATTTACGGAGATATGATGTCACGATTTATGCTGGCCCTTTTGTAAATATAACATATTAGTTTTTCTTTTTTCTCTCTTCTATTTCTTGAAATTGCGTCAATCTATGCTGCTCCCTATGTACTGGTACACCGCCATCTTTATGTCTCACGAAATCTAATTGATGGACCTGTTTTCAATTCGATTGAATCCAAGTTTTGAGATTATCTATACGGCTCAATGTAATAGTTTATATAAATGGAAACATAAACACTTTATTCGACTGTACAGGGCGAGTGCCAGTAATGGACAGGGTGCGTATGCAGATGCAATATTCATGACATTTGATATTCATAATCTCACAGTCTGGTCTCAGTTCAGGGATTTGTCATCCCTTGCAAACTATAACATTGTAAAATACTTATCTCTAAATGGAATATAAGTTCAAACAGGTTTATAATTTATAAACATATTATGACAAGTTATAACATTGTGAAACCTGATTCTCTAAATTGAATATAGAACGCAGGTTATATATAACAACTCTTCCAGATCCTGGTGTAGTAAAGACAATCTAATTAAAATACAGCTCTATATTTCGTTTTTTTATACTTTCGATGGCCTATTACACTACATGAAGATCTGACCAGTTGTACTGGGAGGTCATGTCAGGGGTTATACAAGCAACTTTTGACCCTATGATGTCAGACATTGATTAATCAGTCAGCGTTGACATTTCAAGGTGTTTACCCACAGTTCCATGCAGAGCACGCCAAGAACTCGCCGTAACAGACCGTTTCATTGGTTAATTCCTCACATCAACTAGAACGCCTGTTATATAACAACTCTTCCAGATCCTAGTGTTGTGAAGACATGTAAAACAAAATTTTGAACTATAAAAAAACGAAACGAAATAGGATCTGTGTTTTAATCAGATTGGTTCAGAATGGTTCAGTATTTATAAAGATATGACAAATTACAAATTTGTTAACAATCTTCATCCACTGTAGACGATATAGGATATAGTCAACATAAACCAGAACTACTGAAATCTTTGATGGGCCTCTTTTTTTATCCAATTGAATCCAAGCTGGGAGATATTGTTTCTAATAACCAGGTAAATGTTAAATAATGAATCTGAGTAGATTTTAGCGTTGAATAAGCCGTGATATTGTCTGATAAATTCAAATGATCTACAGGGAGAGATTGAGAGAAATGGAGTTTAACATTTCGAGACTTACATATGGTTTTATTTTTATTTCCATAATTCGCTTGCGTTAGGGGTCTTTAGCAGTGGGAAGAAACTGGAGGACCAGGAGAAAACAACCGGGGATTCGAAACCACGCCAGTTGACTCAATGACAGGCCTTATGATACAGCACGTGCATCCAACCCCCTAAAATGATCTACGGTGACTTGAAAATAAAATGACAAATTTCTTAACATATTTCTGGTTGTCAATTTTCTAACAAAAACACAACTTACCTGCTGTTAAATCCATGTTGAAATCTAAGAATGCGCTGGACTGTGGAACATACAGAGGTGCTAAAGGAGCGGAAGATGTTTCATTTTTGACTGTTTCTAATGTATAATTTCTGCCCTCACTGTCGAAAAATTAAACTTTCATTAGAATTTTGGAAACGGTTTTATTTAAAAAACGTAAGGATTAGTCTGATAAAATGATTCATTTTGTTCATACGGATACAAATTATTATCTACATTATTTAGCTTTACCCATTATTGAGATAAGACAAATAAATGGTTAAAGTGACAGTTTAGCTAGCTTTAATAGCTTAATTTAATCATTATATTATCACTCATGACGTCATCTAGCTTTATCTAGCTTTAACCATTACTGTGATAAGACAAATAAATGGTTAAAGTGACAATCTAGCTTAAATCATTACATTATCACTCATGATGTCAACGGACAGACTATTGCCATACTGTCAAGACCAGTCGCATTAAGTCTTTCTTGTAAATTAATAATTTTCTTTTCATTTTGAGTGAAGCCTGCATTAATACAAGCTTGGGACTGTACAGCGAAGTGGACGCTTATGGTTGGTCCAAAAATCCATTCACTTAAATTGGTATTTGTTGTTGTATAAACCCAAATTATAAATACCAAAACAAAACCATTTACAAGGAGAGATTGGCCCCATACAAATAGCAGTTTTGCAGTCGGGATATCAGAGATATGTGCAGGGACAAAATTCTGAAGTGGAGGAGGACATGGTTTAAAAAAAAAGTTATACATGTAGCTGTAATAACTTATGATAACAAGATGGAAGACAAAGAGAGTGGTGCTGATATTTTGAATCCACCAAATCCCCTGGGATCTGCCATTGCATTATCTAGTAACGTACCCAAATATCCAATATGTTCTTTCTTTATCTCCATTCATAAATTTTTCTCCTACTAAATCTGGAATCATATCTCCATTCACGCTGAAATATTAAAATTGGACATGATGCAAATAACTGAAAGCCAGAATATTTATTAGAAAGCTCAATCTGGTTAAAACACAGATCCTATTTTGTTTCGTTTTTATAGTTTAAAATTTCGTTTTACTTGTCTTTACTACACTTGGATCTGGAAAAGTTGTTATTTAACTCGTGTTCTGAATGGTGTCAGGGATAAGCCAATGAAACGGTCTGTTACAGCAAGCTTTAGGCGTGTTTTTCACGGAACTGTGGGTAATCCACTATTAACATCAATACTGATTGGTTAATCAAATGTCTGACGTCACAGGGTCATAAGTCAGTCTTTTGACCCCTGACGTGACCTATCGCTATAACTTTTCAGATCTTCATGTAGTGTAGGCTATCGAAGGTATAAAAAAACGAAACGAAATATAGATCTGTATTATAATCAGATTGTTAGAAAGCTATATGTTGCTTTCATAACCTTGATGATTGTGTTTACATCTTTTAAGAAATTTGAGAATGACTTCAAAAGCTCTACATGTGCATATTCACACTTCAACATACTTTGGCCTTCGTGTATATGTACCAACTAAAAGTCGAAGCAATTTTTCATGGCAAATAAATTTATTGAGAGGAAACCCAATCTGAAATGGAAGCTTAAAGAGATACAGGCAACAATAACTATCCACACAATTTTTCAACAAAAAAATTGATTTACATGTAGATATTAATCATATTAAAACTGAAGCTAGGCATAGCTAATTAAAGAAAATGCAAGAACTGGTCAAGAGTTTTGTTGAAAACCACTTCTTTCTATAATGCATAAAACTCATGGAATCTTGAAATGGCCATAACTGAGTGACGACTCAAATTGTGTAGGTAATCTAATTTAATAATAAAAATTAAAAAAAAATACAAAACAACTAACTCTATTATTGCTGGTTGATCTGCGAATGTTTCCTTTATAACTAATGGTATTGTATCTGAAATTAATTAAAATACAGAATGTTGTAATAAAAACAAGTATGTATAAAAAAATGAATAATAAAAAATAATAAAAAAAAATCACTCCTACCACTAAGTTGAAATTCTGAATTAAGAAAATGATCAACCATAAAATAAATACATTTATTGTAAGTATAGTACTGTATAATATCTATAGAGATGCTAGCAAAAGTTACGTACAATAAGTTTGTAAATAAGTAGGATTTAAATGTCTTGTCAATGCTATTCTTTTTTTATTTAGAGGGGGGCTGGACGGCTGAATGGTTAGCAAGTGCCCGCTGTACCATAAAGTCTGTCATTGAGTCAACTGGTGTGGTTTCGATTCCCCGGTTGTATGTGACAAGGAGTAGGGTCGCCTGTCCAACCTCGTGGGTTTTCTCCGGGTCCTCCGGTTTCCTCCCACTGCTAAAGACCCACACGCGAATTATTGAAATAAAATTGAACCATGTGTTAGTCCCGAAATGACCTAGTTTATGTCGATTGGACATTAAACCCCATCTCTCTCTCTCTCTATTTTTTTTATTTAGAAACTCACAAATATAAATTTTTCCAATTTGGTAAAATTACACGTGCAGTGGAGGGTGTGGTTTCTGGACTGCATAACATGTTTTGTCCTTACTCTTCTGTAAATTCCATCTGTCAAATGATCTTTTACTTGCGCAATCATTTTATTAACAGGATTATTGACTTTTGTCCTATGCAAACAATTAAAGCTGAACTCTGATTACAAAACTACAGAAATAATTCATACGGCGTTTACTGGAAGTGGGTGTGGCCTGTCTATGTGTTTGTTTGCCCAAAGTAATCGGCATTGTTGTTCTACAAATTCAAAACAAAACAAGTATGGCGGTTGTTTTGGGCTTTACCTTTTTTTATTTAAAGTAGCTAAGTCTCTAACTCAATACCATCCAAAGTCTTACACGTTGAAAATACGAATTATTTGTCAATTCAAATCAACATTGATGCTGTGATCTTAACAGGAAAAGACAGGCTTCTGATATCCAATATTTAAGACAAAATAAACATTTTACCATTCGTGTACCATAGTGCGTTTTAGCGTGATTTGCAACAAGTGACCAGAAAGAACGAGGCTAGACATATTCAACTGGAGAGCCTGCTCAATAGACTGGAATAACCAGACGCTAGAAATTGCTATAGGGTTGAGACACATGTAGTAATTTGCTGGACATAACTGATTTGAAATTAAGAGTCAAAACGGAAACAATTGAATGTAAATCAGTTTATATACAATCAGATTACATTATTATATAGGTCCCAAATATTAGCGATTTAGCTCCTTTAATTATTTCTGTAGTTTTGTAATCGGAGTTCAGCTTTAAAGAGAATTTACATGTACAAAATGGAAATGATCTTCTAAGCATAAATAGTATAATTTTAAAGCAAACTGCTGGCAATGAAGTCCTACCTAAATTATTTTTGAGGATATTTCCCCAGTAGATGACTACTTGTAATGGTCCCTGTGTAACACCTTCATTTCTTCTTGTAACCATGACATCCATCATAGAATCACCATCAAAATCCGCTGGTACTACATTTACAATATAGGTATCATTTGTTTGGGATTTACTGATCAATTCCTTTTCAGAATAAGATGCATCTATTTTTTCAGTTGTTCCCAGAACAAGTTGGATGGATTTCCCTGCAAAAAAAAGACAAACAATTTATTACATACATGTACCGTATGACGTGTAAAATAAATTATGGTAATTAAATCACACTCAACATTGTAAACACTGTGTGTAACATACAGTTCAAACAAAATTTTTAAGTCCAGTTCACAGTCAGCCAATGGATGTTTTATGCCCAATCTGATTAAAATACTAGGGCCTGTTTCACGAAATTTTAACTAAGATAAAATCCAAATTTTAGTAATCTGATTGGATAATATTAGATTGATTTTAGTGCTTAGCCAATCAAAATTGAAGTATCTACTAAAATTTTGATTTTATCTTTAGTTAAAATTTCGTGAAACAGGGCCCAGATCTATATTTCGTTTTTTTATACTTTCGATGGCCTACACTACATGAAGATTTGACAAGTTATAGCGATACGTCACGTCAGGGGTCAAAAGACTGACTCTTGACCTATGACATCAGACATTTGATTAACCAATAGGCATTGATGTTACTAGTGGATTACCCACAGTTCCGGGCAAAAAAGGTCAAACACTCGATTCGACAGACCATTTGATTGGCTGACCCCTCATTTCAAGCAGAACACGAGTTAAATAACAAGTCTTCCAGATCAAAGTGTCGTAAAGGCAAGTAAAACGAAATTTTGAACTATAAAAACGAAACGAAATAGGATCTGTGTTTTAACCAGATTGTTTTATGCCATTAACTAAAACAAACTTAGTTACAGTATTTATAAGGTTGGGATAGCCTAGTGTCTCGCTTCATGCTCTAGCTGGCTGGTCACCTCTGGCTTTCAGCCGTGGTTTAGATCCCTGCTGTGAACGTATGTGGCTTGGAGATAGATGTATAGCCGCCTTCTCCCACAGGAGAGACCCCCCCTCCCCAAAAACCTGCTATAAGATAATAAAAATAAAACAACTTGTCTGCGATGCTAAACACTTATTGAAGAAGACTGGATCATTTTTTTTATATATATTCTATTTTTAAATATGAAGTAGATATTTAACCGTATACGGCAAAGTATCTACTTCCGCTATTGTACCGTACATCGTTCGACTTGCGCAGTTGTGCGATTCTTGATATATTCCACCATTTTGGCAACTCGTCTTTCAAGTTCGGCACGATTTTAGGAGAAAAACATAAACCACTGACAGTCTTAGTACTTAAATTAAAAACCAAAATCCGCCCTCGACCAAAATAGAATAATATTCTAAATGCTTTTCTACAATTTACATTTATTATCTTTTAAAAATAATTCTCCAGTTTCTACCATAGAAATTCAAGTATGGCTATTTCGTTCCTTTATAAGAAACGGAGAAAGAAGCAATGTTAGACAAAGGACGAAAAGAACTGTTGGGTTAGGGTTTGGGTTAGGATTTGGGTTTGAACTGTTGCAGTGTTGGGTAAGGGTTACGCAGTGTATATTTTGACCGTATACGGCAAAGTATCTACTTCCGCTATATAAGGTATGACCTCATCATACAAATTAGCCAATCAGAAACGATGTACGGTAAAATAGCGGAAATAGATACTTTGCCGGTTAAATATCCACTGCCTTTTAAATATATCCCATGATCATGATTATATTCAAAACCAATATATAAGAGTCTTAAAATGCTGTTACGTTATAATTCCTAAGCTAGTGGCCGCCCCGTGGCAAATCGGTGCAGTACGTTGATATGGCTAATGTTCAAAGATATAAATTTTAGGTTTGTTAACTTATTATTCAACTGAACAGAATGTACAATAAGCTGAACCATAATTCAGTCATGAGATTTGCACACAAAAAATGTCAACAAACCGTCGTCAGAGAGGATAAACACATCGGTAGCTTTGTCGGCGTTAAAATCGCCAAAAGCTGCTAAGAGACCATTTTTGGTTCTTCCAAAAATACCAGACGAAGTGTCAGAAAAAGAACCCTGACAATTTTTAGTGAAATTAAGAAATAATAACGCGACAAAAACTGTTAAAATCCACATCATGTCATTTTGACTCATCTAATCAGCCATTGAGCCATAAAGCGTTGCGCATTACATGTATAACGGAAATTGGTCTTCGTTTACGACATTTGCGACATTGCATTAATTTGGGTTACATGGTTAATTTATCTCGTAAATTAAGGAAAAAAGGCAATAAGGAACAAAGCTTTAATCAGCGACAGCAGCAGTTCTGGTTGTAGCAATGGGTTCTTTACCGATTATTTAGAACCTGATCTATTTTAGCGCTGTCAGTGTCAATCTGAAAACCAGAGCCGCGGCAGGGAGGGCTACAAATTGGCCTCCAAACAAAAATGAGTGATAACCTTCGCATTCATGTTAATAAAACCTTTAAAAGGCAGCAGAGTGATGTATGGCACACTGCTGAAATGGCACAGGACGTAGAGTCTCACGAGGAAACTCTGAAGAAATTGAATGATTTTTATTTTACACGTAAGACTGGAATTTTATTAATGATACATTACATACTAACAATAACATAAGCCTACATTTTAGGTGTGGATTTGATAGTTACAACCCTCATGAAAACAATTACATTGTAACTTTATTAAATCAGATGACATCAGAAGATAGGCCACCGAAATGAAATTCACATTATTGTGGGTGCCAGGCCCTCTGTCCAGAAAATCCTTATGAACTTTCTCGGCCAACACAGGGGTCAAACATAGGACCTCCATGTTAGCGAGCCAACATACTAGTCACTGAGCCACCATGGCTCCCATTATCTAGGCCTATAGGCTAATATCCTACCTGACATTTGCAGAATAATTGATGCAGCTTCACCAGAGATAGGGGTGGTGCGTGTTGGGTGGCCAAATGGTCTAACGCATGCACAGTCAAGAAGCACCTGTTTTGATCCCATACTTGTAAGATTGCCTGCCTAACCTTGTGGGTTTTCTCCGGGTTGTCTGTCCGCCCATCTACATGTTTCATTCGATGTTGTTTCGACTGGTAAATTTTGAAGTGAAGGCCCTGCTGAGAATCTAGTGCAGCTTTTATCGATGTACAGCTAATTATATATATATAGATAGAGAGAAATGGGGTTTAACGTCCACTCGACCCAATTTTGGGACTAACATATGTTCAGTTTTATTTCAATAATTCGCTTGCACATAGGGTTCTGTAGCAGTGGGAGGAAACCGGAAGACCTGCAAAACAACGCTCCCTTCAAAGAGTAGCAGAGGCGAGAAAGGCCAGTAGATCTTTATAGCTGCTGGAGGGAGGTTGGATGGCCGAATGGTTAGCATGTGCTCGCTGTATCATAAGTTCTGTCATTGAGTCAACAGGCGTGGTTTCGATTCCCTGGTTGTACGTGAGAAGTAGTAGGGTCATCTGTCCAACCTCGTGGGTTTTCTCCAGGTCCTTCGGTTTCCTCCCACTGCTAAAGACCCCCATGCGCAAGTGAATTATTGAAATAAATTAAAACATGTTAGTCCCGAAATGACATAATTTGTGTCAAGTGGATGTTAAACCCTCTCTCTCTCTCTCTCTCTCTTCTCTCTCTCTCTGTAGCTGCTGGATCAAACAATGATGACCGAAGTCTGTTTTTGTCATGCTGTTGTGCTGGGATTTTTAAATATCAATTTATTCTTTTAGTTTATGAATTTCTATATTTTCAGTGAAGCGTCAAATTCTTCAGTATCAGAATTGTTGTCTGGGATTATTTCCTTCAGTAGGATCCCCAAATAATACAAGTCGTGTGGCACATGTACGAGACAGTATATACTGTTCGGTGGCAGCATGGTCACTCTCTCAGGCTTACAGGTAAATAATTTGTTTATTTAAAAAAATGTTTATAGGTTGGAAGTGAATTTACTGGGACAATGGCTCAGTTGTGTTAAATGAACACAAAGCTCTGTAAATTAAAGTAGTTAAGTCTCTTAACTCAGTATCATCCAAAGTCTTACACGTTGAAAATACAAATTATTTGTTAATTAAAATCAACATTGGTGTTGTGATCTTACCAGGAAACGGTAGGTTTCGGATATCCAATATTTAAGACATAATAAACATTTTACCATTGGTACACGAATCGTGTACCATAGTGCGTTTCAGCTTCATTTGTAACAAGTGACCAGAAAGAACGAGGCTAGACATATTCCACAACTCATGTCAACCGGTGACGCCATATCTTATCTGGAGAGCATGTGCAAAAGACTGGAATAACCAGACACTATAAATTTCAATTCGGTTGAGACTGATGCCGTATTTCGCTGGACATAACTGATTTGAAATTAGTGTCAAAACGGAAACAATTGAATATAGATCAGTTTGGGTCAATTTCTAGGTCAGAAAATATTAGCGATTTAGCTCCTTTAAATACTGATAGATATATTTTTACTATTTAAATAATATAGGCGTATAGATGATGATAATGGACGAACACATGAATTAGGTCAGATAGCGGTAAAATGTATGAGAGGTATTTTATTCTGTTGGATTCGACAGTCCGAAAAGGTTTGTTAATCTTGAATTTAACTAAAGAAATTTTGTTTAATTCTGTTACTAGCTCTTTATTTGGACTATACAGTTCTGAAATGTTTTGTTCTTTTGTTAAACCAAGGTTTAATTCTTCAATAAATGGAATGGGGTTTAACATCCTACTGTTCTGCTCCCACTGATTGTCATACAGTGTACAATAAAGGAAATTTTGCCCAGACAGCTGCTTTATTGCCTACTCTTATTAAGAATTCCATCTGTCAGGGGTTCTTTTACGTGCATGTCAATGTGCACACAGGACGTTTGTTTTTCATCCCATCCGATGAACACTGGGATTGAACACGGGACCCCCAGGTTATCGAGCCAACATCTTACGCACTAAATCCCTGCGGCTCTCTTATTCTTTAATAAAAACTAAAATGTCAAAATGGAGATGTTAATCAGATCAGAGTCACCTGTTCATACAAAGCTGAATGAAATCATCAAACTGCAAACTGAATTGAAATCATTTAAAATTCAATACTGCCTCAATGTTGTTTTCAAGGTTCTGATGTGATCCGAAGTCAAAATTATGGGTCATTTTCTAATCCGTAAGGAAAATATAACCCAACGGAAAAAGAAAGTTTTCATTGGTGATACTGAATAATGGTGTCCTACAAAATAAATTGAAAATATATCGATATTTATTTCAGGTGGAGAAATTCAAACGTCATCAGCTTCCCCAGTTTGCTCTCCATTCAACATTTGATATGATAACTGGTGATCCTGTTTATACAGATGAGGAATACGGACATCTACAAGTTAGCGAATATATTGAGTATAAGGGAGGTTGGGTGCACTTTTGAGTCAAGTGGCGTGGTTTTGATTCCCACTGCCTGTGCGTGACAAGGAGTATAGTCCGGTGGCTCAAGGGGGAATATCACCACCCGAGAGAGGAATTTATTTGACCAATTTTTTCTTTAGCATTCTTTTTGCGTATATTTCAATTCTCAGTGGTCATCAGGTGTTTGAGGGGGCTTTCCTAATTCATTTGTATGTGGTTTAAAAGAACGGCTTGTATACACTATGTTACAATTAATGTGTAACATAACTGAATTATAAATTACCAGTATTCCATTTTAATACTATAATAAAGTAATATACTCAGCCAAATTAAAAACTTGACACTGATGAATTTCAACAATTTTTTTTTTTTGGTAAGTCAAATAAATTTTAAAGTGTTTCTAACGATAGTAAGTAGTAAGAAGCCTTTAATTTCATAAAATTGTAAAGTCACGTGGATCACGTGACTTTTGAGCATATAAAGATGAAAAACCTGAAAAACACGTGCAAACACAAACTCGTGAGGTCAATCGATGCAATTTTGCTTAAACTGAACACGCACACGTAACTTGAACTGGAAAAACAAATTAAAATTGTTATTTTCATCTTTGTTAGAAAATGCCGCGTCTTTCAAATGTAGAACGTCTACGTGCTATAGGTAGGCTCTATGCTGGTCAGTCTGTGGTCACTGTTGCAAGAGCCTTTAATTGTTCACGCCAGACAATAATTAATCTTAGAATGAGAGTGCTTCAAACTGGAACTATTGCCGACCGCCCAAGGGCTGGAGCGCCACATGTGACGTCACTCCAGGAAGAACAAGCAATACGATTACGTCATCTTAGAAACAGATTTGTCACTGCAACCTCCACAAGTAGAGGGATGTTTGGTGGAAGGGTAACTGCACAAACTGTTCGAAATTGCTTGCAGGCTGCTGGTCTTCGAGCTCGGAGGCCCTATAATGGACCAATATTGACACCCCTTCATCGCCGTAACCGATATGTGTGGGCCACAAGACACATAAGATTTACTCAAAGACAGTGGAATTCGGTTGTCTTTAGTGACGAGGTGAACGTTACGCCCAAGTATGCGTCATGCGGCAGCGTCATGGTTTGGGGTTCTTTTTGTGCACATGGACGTTCTCCTCTTGTTGTTGTCCAAGGGAACTTAAATGCTGTCCAGTACAGGGATCAAATTTTGCAACCTGTTCTTCTTCCATTTATGCAGAAACATGGGCCTGGACTAACGTTTCAACAAGACAATGCTCGACCCCATACAACAATTGCTACCCAGATTTTTTTTACGCTTAGCCCCGACCATAATCCTATTGAACACATCTGGGACAAACTGGGTCGACGTGTTCGTCAGCAAGTGAATCCACCACTGACGTTGCAGGACCTTCAACATACTCTTGCTGAGCAGTGGCGACGTCTTCCTCGGGTAGTGTTTACTAATGTTCTGAGATCCATGAGAAGACGTTGTGTGGCAGTACGAGACGCTAGAGGAGGCCACAACCGTTACTAAACACTTTAATCCGATAATCCGATTGTTCTCCAAGTCTGTGAATTTCATTTTGGGGGGTACTGTGACATCACGAACGTTATCAATGTCAAGGACCTTCGGCGAGACGTATTCTTGCTTTCTGTTGATGTCAAGGTCGTCTGTGCACAACATAACACTAAAATAGTTGCCTTAAACCAAATATTAAAAATGCGTATAATATTTTCTATATTTCAGATAGATTGTGTAGCTTTATATTTAATATTTTTGAACCAAATG